AAGATTTGGATGAGTTTTATGAAGGACTTATTGAGCAGCATCTCAATCCCAATAGGCCAAAATTAATGGAAGGAGATATTATTGATCTTTTGCTCCAATTAAAGAAAGAGGATTCAACTCCAATCAATATCACTTTGGACAATATAAAGGCAATTCTCATGGTAAGTAATCACTTCTGTATAAATATATACACTGGCATTATAAAGAATTTTTACGTCATTAATTTATTATTTTTTTATTTTTTTATTACCTTATACTTTGCAGATTAATTTAACATGATGGTGTAAAACGTCTTATAAAAAAAATTTACATCATTAATCTACTATTTAATTGATTATAATCTTTATTACCTTATAGTATTACGTTGCAGATTAATTTAATGTGATGGTGTAAAACGTCAGTTTACCTAAATTAAACTCATACATAATTACGGTCAGACCTCTCTATAGCAGCATCTTTATATTACATTCATTTACTATAAAAGCCAAGTTTTCTTGAAACAGATTTTTATGTTATGTTATAATATATGTTCTCTATAATAGCACTTCACTAGAATAGACAAAAAATATCGGAACAAACGAGGTTGTTATATAGAGGTTTGACTGCATGTGCATGCATACATATACAACTGTTTTATCTATATTTTTAATGAAGTGATATATATACTCTCTTTTTTCCTCTAAATTTTATTTTTTTGTAGAATATATTTGCAGCTGGAACAGACACTGTGGCGACATCATTACTTTGGGCAATGACAGCATTGATAATGAACCCGAAAGCCATGAAGAAAGTCCAAGAAGAAATAAGAAAATCAGTTGGAAAGAAAGGAATGGTGAATGAAAATGATATACAAAATTTTCACTATCTTAAAGCAGTGATAAAGGAGACATTTAGATTGTATCCTCCAGCTCCAACTCTTGTGGCAAGAGAAACAATTCAAAAATCCATACTAGAAGGGTATAAAATTCCACCAAAGACTATTATTTACGTTAATTATTGGGCTATCGCGAGGGATCCTGAATACTGGAAAAATCCAGAAGAGTTTATACCCGAGAGATTCTTGAATAGCAATATCGACTACAAGGGCCAAGATTTTGAGTTTATTCCATTTGGAGCAGGCAGGAGAGGTTGCCCGGGTATTCAGTGACGGTTGTATAATTAATTATCATGTTTTTAACCCATATTTTAACAAGTTCAGAATCTTAAATTTTATAAAGTTTAAATCTTGAATTCGCTTCGCAGGTATTGCTCTTGCTGTTGCAACTTTGGAGCTTATACTTTCAAACCTTGTCTATGCATTTGATTGGGAGTTGCCTTGTGATATGAAGAAAGAAGACATTGACACTGATGTTTTGCCTGGAGTTACTATGCACAAGAAAAATGCCCTTTGCCTTGTCCCTAAAAATTATCTTTAGACCTAGTCATATATGAGTTTTTGCACTTTCTTTATGTTTAAGGTTCTTAAATTAGGTTAAAAATAAAATAAACACCTTTAATTCTCATCTTTAATGGTGTATTTTATGATGGACAATGAGGAGCTAGCGGCAGCGTGCGGATGTAGCCCGCATGCCTTGCTCCTATGTGCTTTCCTATCTTGTTTGTCTGCGTATACCCTACCCTCTCCATACCCCACTAGTGGGATTTTAATGGGTGGTTATTGTTATCTACAACAAGAAGCAGCCCACAAGTGAAGTCTGGGGGGAGTAGTGTATACGTAGACCTTACTCCTAACTTAAGAAGATAGAAAGACTGTTTCCGATAGACCCTCGTCTCGTATTTCGTCTATAAACAAAACGGAAAAATGGGTACATTTTTTCCTGCCATAATAATACAGAATGCTATGGTATATCATTTGAAGCAAAAGACTAAACTGCCTGCAGGAGAAACCTATGCATCTTAACATCCAAATATACATTGTAGAAGCAAATATATGACTGAGAAGCTACACATAAACTCCAGCAGTTGAATCAATAATGTCTGAGGAGTTCACAGCACATAATAAAAGAGAAGTGCATAGCCGAATTTACGTAGAATACACGATGAGTTCAAGTAAGAGAACGAAGAAAACTATGCGTCTTGATGTACTGAAGAGCAGCAAACAAATGGTACCCAATATGGTTTCGTCTTCCTCTTTTCCTTCTTAATGCCAACTGGATACCTCGCGGGAGAATTCCATTCTTTCTCTGCCTCCTTACTCGCAGCAGCCTGATCAGTTGGTCCCTCTGAGGTCAGAATAGAGTTCACTGTCGTTACGGTTGTAGCCCCATTCTTCTTAGTGGCAGTAGTTTCATCTTTCAGGTTAACAGAAGGCACTTGTTTTGTGTTTGGAGATTTGGCTTCACCAAGTAGATTTTTCAATGGAGTGTGTTGCTTCCCTGTACTCCAGTTTGTTACTTTTGCAATTATCTCTTCATTCTTCTTTCTCCCTTGAGATTCATTCACCACATTGGTAATAGAAGGAAACCACCCGGCTTTTAGAGCTTCTGTTTTGGGCTGTTGAGCGATAAGCTGTGCTTCAATCTCGGAAGCAGAAGCTTTCTTGTCGGCGTCTTCTCCAGATTCAACCAATGTCATGAAAGACGGAGGCTCGTAAACATCTGACTTATCAGGATGCCGCTCCTCAGCTCCAGAAGTTGGTTTCTGCAAGTCACCCTCCGATTTGTCGCGAGTACNCAGCTCCAGAAGTTGGTTTCTGCAAGACACGCTCCGATTTGTCGCGAGTACCAGTTGCTTCGGCATCAGGAACAGCTGTCGACTCCGACTGGGTGGAAAGCACTGTTTCATCACAAATAGCAGAATCTATTATTAGATTGGAGGAAAATACATCCTCAATAACAAAAAGCAACAAAAAATAAAAACCCAATAAGCTGGTTTAATGAATCTATATATCTATACAAAGAAAACAGAAGTGATTATACCTGAAACAGAACCCCAGTTGGCATCTAGGCTATCGGCTCTGCTGCTGGAATTTGTTGATATATCCACTGCAGAAACCATGTCGTTCTGTTTAATGAGCTTGTCATTATTCTCATTCAGTGAGGCTGATGAAATGACCCCAGTGGCATTCTTAAGGCCATCTCCTGTATGGGAGTTATCAACAACGCGGCCGTTCAAATCAGTATCGACAAGCAAACCAGCTGGCTCTTTCACATCACAATCACTGATTATTTTGGAATCCAATCCAGTTGCACTGGTAGGCTCCAACGCCTTGGCATTGTTGCTAACTGTGCTGTCTTCGGAGGATTCAAGAAAAACTTCATCTCTGCTCTCATGCACAGTCGTGCTAGTAACTATAGCACGGTCGCTATGTCCTCCAACAGGGCAGATAGTTTTATCACCTTCAAAAACTCCTTCTAGCTTTTCCTCGGTTCTTTCTTTTGCAGTTTTACCCCCAGCTACAATTGGCTGTTCAGTTCTAGCCTTTTCATGTTCGACATGGTCACTTCCTCCAAGAGTGACCGTAGTTTGATTAGCTTCAGATAAACAAGAAGTGTCTACAACGGTTGTTTCCTTGTTTGCAAGAAGCTCATTTTCTGGATGTCCACCCTTGTTCTCTTCTTCCATGGTAAAAATTGTTTCGGTTCTTTCGATTACAGGATCATCAACTTTTGTTGTTTGTTTGGCCTCTTCCTGAACAGATGAAGTAATGGTGTTCATATCTGAGTGGTCGGTTGGGGAACCTGAAGGAAGTGAATTCTTTGAAGGGTCGCCATCAGTAGAAAGAGGTTCAGGTTCAGATGAGCCAAGATCCAATGGCAAACTAGATTTGAACTTATTGTAGTCTTTGAAGTCTTCAAGCAAGAGTTCAGGGTAGTCTGATGCAGTTAAATCTTTTGCCAAAGACACCACATGCACATCTTCCCTCGCTTCCTCAGTTTTAGATGCATCAGAAAACTCCGTTTGACTACCACCATAAACTCCGTTTGAGTGGTCAGTTGGGGAACCTGAAGGAAGCGAATCCTTTGAAGGGTCGCCATCAGTAGAAAGAGGTTCAGGTTCAGATGAGCCAAGATCCAATGGCAAACTAGATTTGAACTTATTGTAGTCTTTGAAGTCTTTAAGCAGGAGTTCAGGGTTGTCTGATGCAGGTAAATCTTTTGCCAAAGACACCACATGCACATCTTCCCTCGCTTCCTCAGTTTTAGATGCATCAGAAAACTCTGTTTGACTACGACCATCTAAAAGTTGATCGGAGATTCTTGCTTTGTCCTCCTCCACCTTATCGAGTTGCTCGCACTCCTTATCTCCGCTCACATCATCCATAGCTTTAACATCAGCTTCAGACAAGTCCAGTTTCAAGTCCACAGAATCAGGATTTTCATTCTCATCATGCTGTAATTTGGCTTCAATCGGAACACTATCAGTAGCTTGCTCATCTGCCTCAAGTAAATCAGACGGCAAGTTTAAAAGGTCTGAATTTTTCCCCTCTGCCTCCTGTGGCGTTGACTCATAACTTGCATTATCTGACGTCTTTCCATATGTATCAGATACCGCTGATTGAGAGACTTCGACAGCAACACCGACCGCATTAACTAAACCTTCACCGGTATTAATATCTTCTATCTCCTTCAAATCATTTGGCTGGCCAGAAGACATCTGCACTTGTTCGCCTTCAATAGATTCAGTTGTATTTTTCTCCTGCAGAGAAGTATCCACTGGTATCTCTGACTTAATAGGGTCGCAGTCAATCTTTGTACCGAAAGATTCAGCTACTTCTTGCTGATTGATTGCACTTTCAAATGATTCGAGATTATTCACTTCAGTCGCATGTCGGGTATCATTTGACGATCCTGAAATACCTACAACCATGAAAGTGCACCCCAAATTGGCAAAAACCACATTACGTGTAATTAACGAACAAAATGCAGCTTTCAAATGTGAAGGCGGGTTGCTATACCTACAACAACAACAACTACCCAGTAAAATCCAACATAGTGGGATTTGGGGAGGGTAATGTGTACGCAGACCTTACCCCTGCCCCGATAGGGGCAGAGAGGTTGTTTCCGATAGACCCTCGGCTTTGAAAGACGAAAGTAAAGTAAGAAAAAACAATAGGAGATGTAGGACTGGTTCGCACTGTTGAATTCATAACATCATATTACCATTCATTAGAAAGAGCAAGTTCAAAGGATGTTCTGCAGTTCCTACCACTCCCCACTGCCCACCCAACAGAGGGGCAGGACAAACTCATTGCAACAACAACAACGACCAAGTGTTATTCCCACAAGTGGGGTCTGGGGAGGATAGGATGTACGCAGCCTTACCCCTATCCTGGACGGGTAGAGAGGTCGTTTCCGATAGAGCCTCAGCTAAAGAAAAGAATAGCTTATTGCATGAAAGAAAAAGAAAAGAACGATGGAATGGCTAGGACATCTTCATTTTAGCATTATTCCATTCTTGATCATCGTTTCTTCCAATTTCACCGAGAAGTCTAATAGAAATTACTTATAAAGGAAAAACGTCCAGTAAAAACATGTTGGTTTTAGTACTCCCTAAATTGCTTTAAATTCATCTTTCACACCCTTGGTGGGTTTCCTGATCACATAATTTTGGGCAATTCCAACTCCTCCTCAGGAGGACCTAAGAAACAGCCCACATGGTGATATGACAATTCAGAACAAATTTATGCTGAAAACTGTGGGACACACCTAAATTGACCCGACATAAATGTCTTCAAAGGCACAGCAACTGTGTCCGGCATAAATAGCAGATTCAGGAAATATGACAAAGGGAATTTACTGGTCGTCATAGAGCTTCGAGACAAGCACAAAAACAAGGATTTAAAATATTCCGTATAAATTTAATTCAAACCACCTTGCCTGGGACGCCTAGCGGACTTTTTGAACTTTGACCAGTTGAGGTATCTAGCTTCCACTATTTGAAGACATCAACGGACCAATCTATATAATTTTACCAACCAAGACTTCCATTCCAACTTAAGTCATCCATAATCTAGTCCTTTGTAAAACCCACTCTTTGTCCTATAATGTAACTAACTTCACCCAATTATATCATTTCTCCTGTTGAATTACATCAAGAATGTATTTTATACCAAAACCTTATTCTCCAATCAAAATGATTTTAATTTCTTAGAAGGTTCTTCTATGAAGACATACATTTTCAGCATGCCATGTTTTCAGGAGAGCTTTCTTTTGCCCTTGTTTACAGCGAGTTTGTCGTGCATGAGCTGTCATACATGTTTTATCATTTATGACGAATATCCTCAAAGTCTAACATGTTTCATGCACTACTCGTCACAATCTCACGTGAATCCCCAAGTAGGAAAAAGAAAATGACAAGAAATAAAGAATCAACTTCCCCTGAATGAGAGATTGTCTTTTCCCTACTCTGCGAAAGGTCATTTGACGACAAACACAGAATCAGGATGATATCAGGAAAACCTTGCAAACCATAATAATA